GATGGCGAGTGCCAGGAAGTCTGACTTCAAGTAACTTCCAGCTAAGAGAGAACCGAGCAGGAGGTGGAGTAAAGACAGGCTGAATGAATCTTTGTTGTGGAAACACACCCTTCAAGCTCATGTAGCTCTTCATCTATAGCTTGTATATTCCACACAAACAAAATATCAAGAACAATAGCTAAAGTCAATCCCAGCATCCTGATTAAAAGCTAAAACGTCTGCCCATCAGTCATTCATAATTAATCCATGAGGGAAATTCTGGTTTCACACTCTGTTATTGAGAGACATGCTTCTCACACATAGGCCTGAATCACACACACATGTACAAACATGTACATGCCACAGCTGTTGGGGGTTCAGTGCCTTGCTCAAGGGCACCTCGGAAGTACTCAGGAAGTGCCCTGGCACCTCTCCAGCTACCAGACCGACTTCCATATTCTGGCCTGGACCAACGACCCTCCCAATCCGAACCCAAGTCCATACAAACTGAACTACTACTCATTTAGAATAAATGACAGCGTTTCCTCAGTACCTGTTCTTATCTAGTTATTTTTATCTTAGTTTTTGGATTGTGGGCTAGGGGTGGGGGAGGGAGTCATGTTGTTGCTGTTTGATTAAATGTTGATGTAAAGCACTTTGGGATACATTTGTTGGAGGAAAAGTGTTATACAAATAAAGTTTGATAGATTGATTGAGTTTGACTGCTGCCCTAAATGCCCCTAATTATGCATTATACCTTAATATAATCAAATTGGATTATTATTATTATTTTTTTAAACATATTAAGAGAAGAGCTATAGAGACCAAACCCATATTCGTACAAGTCAAGTAAGCATTTTTATTTCTGCTGTGAAAATGGGCACTTTAGTGCAGTGAAAAAAGAGCCTCAAATGTTTTTGTATTTCTCTCATATTTGAGGCTCTCTTGTGTTTCTATTCTTTGTACTCTAATGTTGAGCAACCTGGCACAAGAATGTCTTGGTATGAATGAGAGACCGCCCGATTAATCGGCCGGCCGATGCAGTTTACTTCAAAGAGAAACTGTTCAGAGGTTGACATCATGGATCTCCTTTAACAATGCTTCCACAACGGAGAGCAGCTTCACCAGAGTACAAAGTTACTGACACCTTATGTCGTTAGCGACCCATGAAAGTAGGCAAGTGACGTCCGGAAATGAAAATCCGATGTAATCCCTTGCAAATAAAAATACGAGAGGTCTTAAAAATCTGATTTGAGAAACAAATCGGACTGACCACCTGTATGAAAAGAAAGCATTACATCTCTTGCTCATCTGGTCCTGCATGATTTCCATTTACCACACAGTATTTGTACCAAACCCATTTCCACCTACTCACAGCCATGTTGCCAATGTCCCTTTATGCCTTATGCAGTGAAGCCTCTCTTCATTGCTTTGGTCTCTTTCTGCCTGCCTGCACCTTTTACATAATCATTTCTATTTCCTGTGATTTCTCAGATACTTCTCTTTGTAGTCGTTGCCTTTTCCACTTAGCGTTTGTGTAATCACAAAACTGTTCCTGGTCCTGTCTGCCTCGTTTTTTTGCATTTGAGTCCTTTCCACAAAACCTGTTCCATGACACAGGTTACATCCCTGGATATGGGTTTGACAGGAAGTACAGGGTTAGCTTTAGGACTTCAGATTGCTAGTATGAGGTCAAGGACAACAGACGACAACGTTTACAATATATGAAGAGAAAATCCTAAAATCACAGGCACCCACTAATAAATGTATTCCCCCAAAATACTAACATGCTTATTACTTTTTTTTAAAAGATTGCTTCCGCCACACAATATTGATTGCATTAAGCTCAAATGATTAATTAGCTGTCACAAACTGCTGAAGCCACAGAATGATAAATGCAAAACCAGTATTTGATACTCTCTATATCTCAGTCTCTCTGGCTCCTTCGCGTCTGAATGTTAATTGTAATGTACCTTCAGTATCTTCATATCATTTGAAAACAGCTAACTGTAGCTCATGTAACATTTTTTCATCGTCATTCGATGCCTTGATGAAGCGCTGGCTTTCCAATCACACATGATGAGTCATTGTTGTCACAAGTAAAATAAGTTTTAATCCAATAAGTAATTTAAAAAAATAAGGAAGACCAAGAGAAAAAGATTTGAGAATAAACTGGCTATTTGTAAAGTTTATGAAGAAATATGTTGCCCCCCCTTTCCTTCTCCCCCTCCTCCATGTGTGTGAGTGTGTGTCAGAGCTACTATCAGAATAAGAAGGGGGTTTAGATTGGAAATCATAAAAATACCTCAAGAGCAACATAATATAAAGTATAATAGATTGATTAAAAATGTGATTGCACGGCAGTTATCAGGTATAATTTCCTTATTTTGTAAACAGCAATATATACGGCAGACAGAAAAACATTTGCGCAACGTGAGTTCTTTCCTAAATCGTTAAGCCCTAAAATCTCTCTTTACACATTTGGATGCGTTTTGTTTTGCAAAACAAGGATTACTGACTTGGTCAAGCGAACAACAACAACAGTCAAATGCATCCTTACATCGGCGGCGGTGAGTCAAGAAAACAAATCATTCTAACTTCCTGTGAAGACTTCAAGAAAATACATAATGCATGATTGTGACCTCTGGAAACCCTGGACATGTTTGTCCTTAATATGTAGGAAAATGCATAACTAAGATAGCGATTAAACACAACCAGGTCTATATGTGTATGTAAATATTATATGAACCAGATATATATATATGACACTGAAGTTCATGAATGATGTAGAGAGGGCAAGGCCAAACATAAATGTTGCTCTGCAGACAGAAAGCCTGTGTTTTAATCCTGTATTGCAGCATGTTATGAATACATTTTGCAGAGCTTTAAAACACATTTTCCCCACTCACACACACTTCCTTTGTGTGTGTCAGCTCTGATCTGCGAGCCACAATGTGTATTGTGCCACAGAGCTGGCAGGACATTAGCCAGATCCAGCGAGGGGAGCATCAATTGCTGCATATTCCAGCGAGTAAAGTGAGCAATGTTTTAGCGTCTGTGGCAGGGGGCAGAGGGGGCCTCCTGCCTCATGCGATTGCCCTCGCTTTCCCTCCTCAGCTGACATGCGGTATCACCTGTCAAAGTACTTAGATAATTGGATATGAGAAGGGATCGCAGTCTCGCCACTATAACCAATGACACTGTCAGCAGTGTCATTGAGAAGCAGCATCTTCTTGCACTACGGGCAGAGAGCGAGGGAAGGGCCTGAAGTAAATGTATTTTCGGACGGCTGGCTGACTGAACAGCGGAGGAGATCACAAATCACCTGGCTTAAAGATTCTCTCACCTAGCCAGAGAGAGAGTGGCAGTAAATGTTTACAGTTGCATGTAAAAATGCTAAAAATACCCCCCCAGACCTCCTTCTCCCGGAAGAATGACAACGTGTTCTCTGTCACCAAAGGACACAAAAACTAAGAGCGGCTCAAAATACTTTTGTTAAAAATTCCAAAACGGCTACTTGAAGCTAAGTTTAGCAACCATTACATCTTCATAAACACCACTCCTCTTCCTCGGTACGGCTGCTGGTTCTCAGTGTGAAAAGTGCAACAGGCCTTTATAAATAATATATCACATTCAAATCCCCCGCTAAATCATCGTATCAGCGCCAAGGTTAAGTCTCAGAGAGGCTCCACCGTTTGACCAGGGGAATAAAGGCCTTCGCTAAATGGCTCCTTCGTGTGTCATTTGTGTAGTTATTTTAATATTCCTGTCTTATTATACGCGCTCGCACTTCCCCTTCCTCTCCGTTATGTCCTACTTTTCACCCTAAGGAGATTTCTAGAATAAACGCAATATATATTAATTCTGTTCGTATTATTCTCCCGTCTAACAGCTCACCTCACTGCTTGCCCTTATTAGCCGGGGCAAATGGAAATCCTTCTCTGAGCGGGGCATATCTGGGTTGCCAAAAGTCAACTCTTCCATGTCATCCAGCTACGACTATACTGTTTTTTTTTTTATGTCACTACATCAGCAGGTAAGGTAAGCTTACACCTGTATCATGTTCTTAACATCTTGTATTTTAACTATTCTTTTAAAGACACAATCTGGAGATTCAGCCGCCAATGGGGCTCTCAATGAATACTACAATAACAAAAGATGACGTCGAGGCCAGCGGGGAATCATGGGAGTTCTCTCTGCTACTCCCCCCACCGGTCAAAACCGAACTGCGTTAACGTAGTCAAGACAAACAGGCAAAAAAGACCTGAGGACAAGAATATGTTTGTAGACGAGCTAATGTATCCGAGTATAATTTACATGATGTTTTTATCTCAGCAGCACATGCAGCAACAGTACGGCTTTCAGTAGCAACTCCCGCTTCCTTGTGTAGCGGTCTTTGACGTAATATCTGGTGTTTCCACGGCAACGGTAAACATTCTGTGTGTCATGGCGGCCGCCGCGACAAGACACGACCTGTTACAACTATGAAATAACAGATTTCTCTGGCTTTGATAACAGTTGGAAATATTTGAGGTAATGTAAATACTAGACAAAAACATATTACATAAAGTAGGTTTAGTCAATTTTTTACTATTTTATACATTGTCATAAAATTCTATGTATTGTATATTTAAGTATCACATGGTTTAAAATATTACAGTTTTAAGAAATAGCCAGGACTCTTCAAATGAGGGAGCAGAACAGCACAAAAACTGGTTTTAATCCGAGTTAAATATTCCAGTTTGATGCTTTTGTTGTTGCTCTGTCCACACATGAGCGGCTGCATCTTACAGCATTGTACTGTGCTTCAGTTCCACAGACACGAGCAGGAGATTGGAAGAAATGAAGCAACATACAGTACAGGAGGATTATTTACTGGTTTGTGGCTGACATGCAGGCCGTCTCTCTGAGTTATCCTCAAACGCTATAAGGGCACCAGAGTATAACTACTGAGCCCGGATGATGCAGAAAAACAACAAGACTACGTGCCGACACACACGCGCGTTTACTCGTTTACTCACTTCGTTGGTTTAATGAGCGGACTGCTTCCCAGACGAAATGACGGAAGGTCTTCTGAGACTGTTCCCTTTCGAAGGAGAAACTTTTCTGTGAGATCAAATCCTGCGAGCGGGAGAGCAAAGTGTCACCACACGTACACAAGTCAATACTTGATTTATTCATGCTGCTTATTCAGGACATACCTGTGATTTGGAGGGGCCGGTCTAAAACTTCAGAAAACCTCTCTTCCTCTACACTCAGAGGCGGACATGTGTCATCTAGAGGAAAGCCAAAAAAAAAAGTTTATTCATTGCAGAAACTCATTTATATTTTGAACCACTTTTGACTAGCACCACAGAAGAGCAAATGATAAATTGAATCGTGCATTTATTTTCATTTTCAGAATGCATTTTTTAAAAAGAAACCTTTAGGAGACATCTACATCAGAGCAGAAAATCAATTCAGAGTGGATTCTCCCAATTAATCTTTCAAACATAAGTTTAAACTTTAAAAAAATAAACCAGCAGAGAAAAGACTCTGAAATGCATTTAAAGGGCAAGCCTGCATTCCTTTAGAGAAATTACATGGAGATTGACTTTATGAATACTGAACACTTTAAAAGTCAATTTGGTCGTTTCACATTTGAGACATTACAAAGGTTGGTTTATCATCGTGCATAAATATTAAACCATATTGGTAAAAGATTGGATATATTTATCTACAACATTAATCAAGAGGGGGCTGCACAGCAAGGAGGTTCCTGGTTTGAATCCTCGTCTGACAGGAGCCTCTCTGTGAGGAGTTTGCATGTTCTCCCCGTGCATGTGTGGGTTCTCTCCAGGTACTCCGGCTTCCTCCCACAGTCCAAAGACATGCTCGTTAGGTTAACTGGTGACTCTGATAAATTGCCCTGTAGGTGTGAATGTGAGTGTGGCTGGTTTCCTGTCTCTATATTTCAACTCTGTGATTGACTGGTGACCAGTCCAGGGTGTAACCCGCCTCTCATCCAATGACAGCTGGGATCGGCTATAGATAATGGCGGGCAGGATGGATGGATGGATGGATGGATGGATGGACGGATTAAGAGCAACCAAGACTTTTAAATATTGTTGTTAACTCAAATAATATTTGTATGTTCTTCTCTAGAGATGCACCGATGTGACCTTTACATGGGTAACGGCCAATACTTACAACATATCAGTAGCTGATGTGTCGCATCAATTTAATGCTGGCAGGCTAGTATGCCTTCTGATTCATAGATTAATTTGGTAGAAGAAGTCAGCTGTTGGACTTACTCTCATTTCTTGTCATGGTTAAATGTGACAGAAAATGTCAACATTGTAAAGTGAGAAAGTCTCTCATCGTCTCTGAGAAAGATCAGTGACATGCTGTTTGTCTGACATGTTCCAGTGGCATTTCAAGAGGAAGGAAAACAATTAAATATATCCAATCACACAGCTCCTTAAAATAACAAACATGTTAGGAAGAAGTTATGAAAAAAACATCCATGTCAGAATTGGCAATGGGCTAATTGTTCATTTACACATTGGAATCAACCCTGATCTCCATAATCGATGAATCGTACTCTATTCAAGTATATCTCATGATTATCTCAAGTAAAGAACAACAAACATTTTAGAAGAACCATTAATATAAATCTATAGCCGCATGACAACTGCCACCTTCAAACTTAAATAGATACTTTTTCACAAATACAGTCAGCTGTTGAAATACAAGAGTTTCTGGATAAAGAGGTCAAGAACAACAACAAACACACATACCTGCTCGTTCAGTCACTGCCATTCCAAGAGTGCCAGGAATGGAATTTACAGTCCAAAGGAAAGCAGTCCATCTTAACAAGCAAATCATGGCTCGGACACTGGAGAGCTAGTCTGCTTGAAAACCTGGATGGAAACAGAAGAGATTGTATTTTACACTTCAGTCATGAAACGAACACAACAAACTGTAAACACACCTCACCGTCAGCATACAAAGACTAGAAACGACTGGCAGCAGTCATACTGCTACTGGTGAACGTAGTATGCAATAGGGCTGGGAATCTTTGGGTTTCTCACGATTCGATTCGATTTCAATTCTTGGGGGTCACGGTTCAATTCAGAATCTATTTTCAATTTAAAATGTTTCTGGATTCATGATTCAAAGTCTATGAATTGTACATACTTCAGGATCTACTTCAGTTATCTGTGAGACTGGCTGAATTTCTTGCTGCCCCATTTAGCATTCTACTTAGTCTAGCCTTAGCACTTAGCAGGGAGTGATTTTTGTTAATTGTTATTAATTGATTTAAAATCTCAGAAGATAAAATCTTGATTTTTACATGAAATGATTTTTTTCCAACCATTACAATAGGCAGTAAATAATGTTCCTAGATCGACTGAAAGTGAGGTTGAGTTAGCTTTTCGAACCGCCATCGTCCAGCTTCACAATTCCTCTTCAGAGCCAATGATGTCACTGACGCTTCGTCCATGTTTTATACAGTTTATAGGTAAATCATCAACTTTGACTTAGTTGGATTCATTCAGCCAGGCCAGCACTGATACAATCTGAAGTATGATGGATTCCTCTGCAAGCTAAGGAGAAACATTCTTACTCTTTACATACTTATCCACTGAATATGATTACAGCATGTTGTCTTATCGACTCTCACTTCCACTCATACGTCCCTAAAGCCTCTGCTTATTTATGTACGAACGCTCTTCTGAGTCCTTCATTCATTAGTTTTCATGAACACCTGCCATACACTGATGAATGGAGACGTCTGTGCGGCAGCAAGATCATTATACTCTCAGCTATGTTTATGTTGAGGTTTCGGTTGTTAACTGGCGAGCCAAGCTTTCCTGTTGTTCTCCTCAGACAGTTTGTAATTCATTAGGCTTGTATGTCTTCTCCATAAATGAGCAGCAGAAGTTTGTTGATGTGCTAAATGTGCTCAGAATACAACGACAGGATAAAGACCGACAATGGAGATATTACCCGTTAAAGAGACACAAAAAGTAAGTATGTTTAAACATGAATTTATGTGTTATTAATACTGTCCTCATATCCCTGTTTTGACTTTTATCCTCCACTCAAAGTTAATTTATTTCCTCACCAAATTAAGATAACAGTGTGGGTAACAGAGGAATTGTATTAGAGGTGCAATACATTTACAACACCCAGACTATTTGCTCCTCAAGTGTTGTTTGTTTGGATTCACTCTTAATGCCACAGCCTTAATCTTTGTGTCCGTGGCGCTCTATTAACACTCCGTTGTGTTTTGATCTGTAAGCTCTCAGCGGCGTCCTGATCAAAGGGGACACATGCGAGTACCAAACCTGGAAACCTCCAGTTACAAGCAAGTCTCCGAAAGCATTTCACAATACTGCCAAGTGGAATCTTCTGCATTGCTCTCGTGCCATTGCAAAGAAGGCAAGGTTTTTTCTTTAAGGGCAGCAGAGTCCTCCTGGAGAGTAAGAGTCGGGTCCAAAGTGGGTAGAGTACAGGCGACTGCTCCAATTCAAAAAATACAAACTAAACAGCCTTCAGTTATTTTCTGGATAACTTTGTCTACTATCTTTGGTGATCTGCCAAAACAGCGATGATGAATGAACATGCACACAAAGAAGAAGTTATTTCATGGGCTTTCTTTTTAGGACAACACAATAAGAACAAATTTCTATACAGGACTAAAAAAAAAATCAGAGTGCAGACGTGAAAGTGAATAAATCCATGTTTGAACAAGTTTAATATCTTTTTAATCAAAAGGAAAACGAAGCTACAAATCATACCTCATGCCAAGGAGTCAGTAAAGCCCAGTTGACTGTTCTAATGCAAACAGAAACACATCAACAAATGTCTGCAGAACTTTTCATTTCAATTTGGTGCGCTGCAAGAGTTGTGAGGATGATTGGATGCAAAGAAATAGAAATAAAAAAACATCAAAGATGGCTTCTTTTTAACACAATTTGTTATTAATTATTGTCTAAAAAAACACAAGAACATTTTAGATAAAGGTCAATCATTTTCCAAATCTTTGTTGAGTTTCGATACTGTGTTTTAAAACCAAACAAAGTGACATTTCGATGTTAAAACTTTGCCAACGTGTTTGTGCAATTTGACTACTTTACCATGGTATCAATATCGTTTGAAGTTTGATATCATGTTAATGCTACTTCACATGGGTCATTAATCAGGCAGAAAATCATGGGGCAATATTTCATAATAACGTTTGCTTTAAAAAACAAACTTGTGATGTGATTTTTCCTTCCTGGAGCACATTAATCTAATTCCGCTGGGGAACAAATGGCTGAAGACAGATTTTGAGTTATGCACTTGACCTCCGCAGAACACAGAACAGCCACCACACATTAAGATAATTTACACGTACAGTCCCCTCATACAGTAGTGTGACCAGCAGTATTTCTCATGATCCTCTCCTTCTGTAACTTGCCTCCTTCTTACAAAAATTAATCTTGCACCAATAATAAATTACAATCCTTATGTTTGGAGCACTCTTCCTTCTCCCACTGGATCATTAAGTTTCGCATGCAGGCCTGACAGTATCATGGCGCTTGGAGATGAAGTGACCATGCCTCTGACAACTACAACCATGCATGGGGCTGCAGACAAGTAGCACTACAGAGGGATCACATTCCTCGTCTGTGTGAAGCTGAAATGTTATTCCAGTTATTTCTGCAAATGCATGCAGTACACGCGGGTCTTAATCCAAGATCTTTTAGAATCATCTGTACATGATTTATTCTCAATTCTGAGGATTTGGTTTGGAGTTAAATTAAGTCCACGAGTTATTTCACCCTGTGTTAAAATCCTGCTGCTCTATCTGCTTGGATTATCACCTTAAACTTGTTCAATATAATAACAGTTTCAGGTTATTAAAACGCATTTTCCATGGTTTTAGAGGGAGCACAAGCAGCTGAGAGTGAAGTTACTCTGCCCCGGTGTCTCCATCATTCCGTAATAACTTCACTTTGCAATATTCAAAGAAGCGTGTCTCTGTGCGCCACCGCTGATTGGCTGGGTGCTTTTTTAACATTTTTTTTTAATAATTACGGAATGAAGAGGTTGAGTTTTTTTTTGTTTCAGGGTCTTCGTGCGCAATTTGCACTTTGCTGTTTACAACAAGTGATGCAATCCGGTATACATGTTTACTGCTGCGGAGCGTTCAGGAATCACAAATGACCTGTTTTTAATGAACAAGTTACAAACACCAAAACCATGCGGAAAAAAAGGAAACGATTGAACACCGGGTGGACACGTGCAAAAAGGTGTCCCCTGTAAGCGTGTCTTCCGATGGTTTTACGCGCTGATATTTACATAAAAGTCGAGTGATTTTTGAAATGAATTTGCTCTGTTAAGTACTTACAGTTGCAGGGAAAGTTTCCTCTAGAGCAAAAAGAAATAAAAAACAGCGATAAAAGCATAATCCATGTGTGATAACGATCAGTCTGATTCCGGATTCCAGGACTTGGAAATAAAAGTCACAGTGGGATCGCCTGCTAGATCGCGGTCCTTATTAGTTGCACCGAGTGGCCCTCCCACTCTGTCATTATTACTGAAATGCACTGACAAGAGACTTCAGCAAACAAGCGGAACACACGCTGAAAGCTTTCATATTAGGGGGAATAAATGCCCACAGGGGGCTCCGAACTAACTCTCTTGTTTAAGGGAGCCAGGTGCAGGAATTAAATCCTGTTTGATGTATTATCGTCTCACCAGATTCTCAGAACAGAGGGCCGAATTCATCTTTTATTTGCTTGCCTTTAAAGTGGGCTTCAAGTGTGTGTTTTTAGTCGTGAGAATAAAAGTCGTGCTTCATTTTAAAGTATACAAGAAGTCTTTTAACGCCTAATTCATCTTGATTCAAGTGCGGGGAAAAAAGGAGAAGAAAAGCATTCTCACCTGTCTTTTCATCACAAAAAGGTAGAGAGCAGATTAAGAGCAGGATAGGATAAAGACTCAGGGGCGTCACAGTGAGGCAGGGCAAGTGGGACTAACTATCCCGGGCCCCAAAGGAGGAAGGGGCCCTTATTGTGCCCATTATAAAAAATAATAAAGTTAATGTTTGGATTTGTTTCTCTCCAAGTTCAAACTCTCATAGTTAGGGTACGATTGGCAGAATAAATGCACATGATGCTTAAGCCTTTTTAAACCAAATATATAAATTAAAATGTTAAAACCTTCGAAAGTTCGAAAAAAATAAAATGCCAAAAATATTCATAAATAACATTGTTTAATTAATTTTTATTATTTTATTTTACCTGCAAAGGAGTCTTAATGGTGTAATTAAATGTTATAGTTACTTAAAGAAGTCACAATGCCATATTTTAAACTTGATATGATACTAGTAAAAATTAGAACAATACAATATAATGGCAAAAAAGGAGGATTTTCTTGTTTTTAATTATCAAAAATGTGCTAACAAACTCCTGGAAACTGTCTTAACTACACAAGTACATTGGCAATATTTCATATTAATGCAATATAGACAAAATACTGAAGTTTGCTTGCAGCGTCAGTAGTTTTCAGAAGTGTTAATCATTAAAATAAACTAGATTGAATCCTAAAACAACAGATTGAGCTTTTATTTTGAATATAACTTCATGATGTTTTCCTATTTGCATGTTTGACCTTTTTACTCTGAAAGGGCGTTGGTCGACCTTGGTTGTTTCAAACAAAGTTGACTGTGCTGCATATTAAAGTATTGAAGGAGGATCATTTTGACCACCTTACTTTAAAGCTTTTAATGGATCTTTTGTAATCGAGGTGCGTTTCCTGAGGCTCCGTGAAGACATAATGAAGCCCCAGCTCTGAGCTGTAAAGGCGGGCCTACAGCAACACGCTCGTACTCTTACTATTTTAGTCTGAAGACATGTTGCAATACCAACCCTGCTCCACGACTTGAACATACTCTACACTTTGTCTGGTGGATCACTAATGCAACTCCAATCAGAGCAGTTTTCTGTCCGCCTGTGTTTCCAAACTAAAGCGTGTTGGTTCAAGCTGAATGAAGGTTAAAGCTCAGGTACTTTGTCCGCTCACAAGTATTCCTTGAAACAGCACACCCACAGTTCAAGACACCCGCTCCACACAAACAGGTGCTCAGGCTCCTCAGGCTCCACACACACACACACACACACACACACACACACACACACACACACACACACACACACAACACACACACACACACACACAACACACACACACACACACACACACACACACACACACACACACACACACACACACACACACACACACACACACACACACACACACACACACAGGCGTAGTTTTCAGTAATATGATAAAAGCAATAAAGACACAGAGATTTTAAACGTAGCAGATGGCTACATTTCTTTGTTAAAATTGTTCAAACATTTTCTTTTAAGTGGTGGTTTCATGATTGTTTCCATCCTGTTTTTCTTTGTGTTTGTTGCGAGTGAGTAACTTCAATCTTGCAGCTGAATAATTGCAGCTTTTCTCACAGTTAACACACAAGAAAGACTCTCTTTATGTCTTCAATGCATTTGTCTGTTCGTGAAATCACACTTTTCTGTTGTTCTTTTCTTTTCTATGAAACTCTGAAGGTAGACATGACACTTTCTAACCCTTGTACCTCATGTATACACAACTTCTACTAACTCACATTATCTGTTTAAATAAGCACACTGTAAAAAAAAATCTGATTTAAATGTGAGGTTTCAGTTGTAACCAAGGGGGAATGTATTTCATCATTTATTTTTTACCAGACCAGGGATGCGGGTGGGGGGGTGGGAGGGTTACTGTGTTCGATTGTGTTTGTTTTTCTGTCTCTCTTTTGCTCCTATATGTAAAAAAAAAAATGCTTTCAATAAAAACATCTTTAAAAACAAAAAGAGCCTTCTATGTAACCTCCACCGCTGCACCCTCTTCTTTATTCTTGCAGAATCTTTATAATTGTAAAATACTTTTCACCTTGTCGAGCTTTTTGTCTGTGATTTAAAACTTCATGCATGTTCTTGTTTGTTGTTATCTATGAGAATAGTATAAAAAAGTCACTTTTTCCTCATGTGTCCGGTCTTTTAAAGGGCTCTTTGGATTTTCTTTATCAAACTTGAGCGCAGATTTTTGAATCAGTCAGGTACAGATTCTGACACTGACTTAAGGTTAACACAGTTAAGCTGCAAAGACGTTCAACTAATCTCAAAATGATTTCCATGGTTAAAATGTTTGTCTGAATCATTAACAGCTTAAACTAATAACAAACTGATGCTGCATACAGGGGACACATTCAAACAAAACTACGCCTTCTTGCTTTCTGTTGGATAAACTGGTGTTCACCCTCTCCTGGCCATTGGTTAAAAGAATGGACGTCAGGTTTGGCTTTTGAAAAACCCAAATTTATAGTGAAAACGAAAGCTTCTGAGCTTGTTCATATTTGGGAGGACTAGAATAATAAGCTCCAAGCCCTTTAAATAAAGAACTAAACCATGACTCTGTGGGATGTGTCGGATCCAGCTGAGGGATCCTGTAAGGTCAGGGTAAGATCAGCTCGTGGTGAAATAAAGAAAATAGTACAGAGACTTGATGGCCATTTAACATCAACTTCACAGTGTCATTCATATTTCTGCATACTACAGTATGTCCAACGTGTGAAGATATCGCGCCCCAAACGTCTCTGTGAGTTGGGTTTTAGAAAATGATGCAACCATGGACCGGGCAAAAGATTTAATTAGTGCATCAAAAATTAATTCTGTGTGATGAGAAATCAATATAATCGAGATACATGAATACAGACGGATCAAATCTGGTCTTTCTATTTGTTTAGAAAAACAGAGGAGAATGCGTCATCTGTTCCACTGACATCATATTTAGTCACCCGAACACCTCAACGTGTGCAGCTTTGTGTGCGCTCCGACTGAAGAGATGGATTGTGTGTCGGCAAAACAGCCGCTGACAAATGCATCCCACCAATCGCTGAATCAAGGTGAATTTCTCCACTGGAGTGACATCTTATAAAGTACAAGGTCCTGAAAGCTGACAGGAAACTTGAAGAAATACCCGGGACATGATCTCAGTTTGAGAAATGTTCTGAGTACAGACACCAAAAACATTTTGTAGAAGAGGAGAAACATTGTGTTTGTCTTTACTAGCTTACATTCAACTGCACAACAGTGATAACAACATGTGTAAGTACTTCCTGTTTCGTGCTGTAGTGTGTTTGTTTCTCTCTCTCCTGTTGCTCTGCAGGCTGCTGCTCGCCCGACTAGCGATCAAAGGTCCGACTCCTCGGCATTAAAAGCAGGAGAGAGGCGAGATCAGTAGCCAGTGGGTCATGCAGTGATCGTGTGGAAGCTGAGATGAGATACTGCTTCAGTGGAAGAAGGGCGTCGTCTGACGAGGCGCCATGTTTTCTCTAATTTGATGTTGGCAGGTATTTCTTTTAAACTGAGGTTTTCCTCCTCCGTTTCATGAAATAATCCCGTCCACACACGCTCAGTTCTCAACATCATCGTCCACATGAAAAGGCAAAAATGCACTGTCACCACTCTCAGGAGCACGCCAAGTCAAAAACGATGTCCATGACGTGATAAAATGTTCTCCCCATTCCTCTGAAATAATACAAAGTTGTCCATTCTGCCACTTCTGCCCATCAACGTCGTGGGAGCACCGGTTTGGTTACGTCTGCTATGTCACCAAAATGGAGTTTATGTAAAACTTTACCCTGGAACGGGTTGTCAAAAACGTGCGTTTTTTTAGTGACCTAAAACGCGGTTTCCTTGTGTACAAAAAGCTAAAAAGTTAAAAACTAGGACTAGGCATACATTTGTTAATGTTTGGCTTCTCTTGAGCTGTTTTTTAATAGAAGCTCGTTTTCAGTTAAATTGTTAGTTTTTGTAAATTCCTTGTCTTTTTTCTTTGTTTTAAATTTGTATTGTTACTCCCCTCATCCCCAAACCATCTCAGGAAACTTAACACTTCCTTATTCTTAAGATGATTTCTTCAATAAATAAATGGAAAACATGATTTAAGAAGTATCACTCAGGTATGCTATCTCTGGTTGCTATCTCAATGACTTTTGACTGAAGCGTTAAGTTTTCCCGCTTCACTATTTTTGCCCACTTCTCACAGTGTTGTGAAAAGCCATGTCGTCGACTGGTCTCTCCTCCCCGGGCAAAGACAGATTGTTTGGGTGTTGTGAGCCAAACCTGTATTAAAAAAAAAAAGTGACACTCTGTAATTTGTTAGCTGGAATTGAGGATTTGTGCTCCCGCCTCACTCTCCTTCACAATCCTCGATAAATCACATGCTGTCAAAAGTTTTTCAGGGTGCTTTCGTTAGCAGTTCCAATTGGAAACAGTTCAGTGGGGTCGTTTGGATTATCCAGGACGTTGTTTTCCACACATGGCTGTTGTTGATGTTTTTTAATGGTGCAAATAGTCGAAAGGTAATCGTGTTCACCAAACCTTCACTGTAGCTCAGCAGCTTCCCAACACGCCTTTTTCCATTTTGTATTATTGAAAGTTGAGGACGTGGCGGTTTCTAACAGATTACTGAATCAGTAAGCTTATCAGTGAGACCACTTTCAGTTTTTTCAATGGACACTTACCATCATTTGTTTTAATTTAGAACCGAGGCATTTGAATAAGCTGAATCCTAAAAGAATTCAAAGTCTGAATTAGCAAACAATAAAAGCAAAATACCAACATTTGCACCACTAGAGGACACAAGAATCTTAGCCTGCTTGTTACCTTTAGATAACTGAACAGTGACATACAAACCAAACCAGATTCATGAGGACAGAAATGAATTCTAAAAATTTTAAATATAAATTTTTCTCCAAAAGATAATGCCTCTAAGGGCGCCAGTAGCCTTGTGGTAAGTGTGCCTGCCCGATGTACGGAAGCTGTAGTCCTCCAGACGGGCGGCCCTGGTTCAAATCCAACCTGTGGCTCCTTTCCTGCATGTCATTCCCCACTCTCTCTCTCTCTCTCTCCAACAAATTTCTGACTCTATCTACTATCCTGTATCTCTAAAGTAAAGGCACAAAAAGCCGTAAATAACGATTATGCCTCCATATCCTCTAGAATTTTATTTTGGAAAGCTGGCTTTGAAATTATTATTTTTTTAAATGGTATTTCCTATCTAATAGACTGTTCACACTTTTGTGAAGAAGTCAGATAACATATGAGACTGGGGGGCGTAGCATGCAACAGATGGTCATGCTCTTTCTGACACCCAGACGTAACATTTCCATGTTTGGTGAACTTCCGATTGATTGACTTAAAAATATCTCAAGACATAAAGTCTGAAATCATGTTTTTAAATGATTCGTTTATCCCTGTGCACTTTAATCATTTCATGTTTTCACCAAATAAACAAAGAGCTTTTTAATAATGTGAGCAGTTGTTTCCAGTTTGAAAAATGATGAAATCAGATGTCATTTCTATCAATAAGTTAAAGTGAAATGTTGAAAAATAACCCACTCACCTTGTTCCAGTGTTCTTATTACATTTGAGGTTTCCAAGAAATGTTTCCATGCTGCTGAAATGAATCATAAAACGTAAAACAAATCAAAATAAAGCTGAAATAAAGCTAAAACTTCTGCTTATACATGTCTCACAGTGAATGGTGAAATATCAACATGGAAAGAATAAAAGTAGGTCCAAACATTTTCATAAAACTGCAGACAGATACATTTACAGTTGATAAAGTATGCAGTTTGGAATCATAAAAATGTAGGCTGCAACGTTTTATAATTAGTAAGAGACCCAATTTGATTTGTTTCTAAAGGATATTTTGTCAGATTATAAAATTGTATCTTGCCTGCTTGCTAATTTCTGTCATCTTTAAACAGAAAACATTACTCAAGCGTATCTTCACGTGGCGAAGATAAGTCGGAAAAGTCAGTTTTTGACTGGGGAAATTCCAGAAAACACCCACTGAAATGTTTCACAACTGCTGAGATGACATAACTATGTGGACATAAAAGTTTAAGACCCATCTGTTCAGACTTGCCTTTGTTTGATTTGTCTATCTTAGATTTTATGTAAATGTCTTTTAATTAATGTCTACTTTTTCTAATTGAGTTTTTTTGTATTGTGAAGCAGTCTTGAAAGGTGCTAGTCTACATAAATAAACGTCACTTCTTTACAGAATCGGTGTAATATTGCACAAAAACATGGCGGACCGAAGTTAGTGTTATATTAATTATCCAAAACGTTTTATGTATGTTTGCTCAATTCAGTTAGAGGAACCTCTTTTATGCTTGGAAAATCTGAGCATTTGGGAAGTACCTGAATGCCCCCTTCCCCCATGACTCAAAGCCTACTGAACTAACTCTGAGGATGCTATCTGGGTGCTAACCCTACAAACTGGTGCACGTAGCTAGACTTTATGACATGTATAATGTTTGGCAATAGCTTTAGTTGTTAAATACCTACCTAATTAACCTTGATGCACTTCCTCAGCTACAGGACTGCTTTGCTAACACCCAGTGGGATGTATTTGAACATCAGTACCTGGCAGAACACACAGAGACAGTACTGACCTACATCAAGTACTGCATTGAAAATGTCACTGTTGAAAAAAGCATCCGGTTTTTCCCTGGATGACCAGCCAGGTCCGAATGCTGCTTAGAAACCGCGACTCTGCCTTCAGGTCAGGTGATAGAGCGCTGTACAGTGCTTCTAGAGCCGACCTGAAGAGAGGAATCAAGGATGCTAAGTCGGCCTACAGGAGGAGGATAGAGGACCACCTCTCTGACAACAACCCACGACAGGTGTGGCAAGGCATACAACAAATCACAAACTTCAGGGGCTGCAACATCACACCTGGGAACTCAGACGCCTCGCTGGCAGAGGAGCTGAACTGCTTCTTTGCACGGTTTGAGAAAACTGAGCTCCACACAGCCACAGCACCTCAGCCTCCACCAGCACATAGCACCGTCACACTCACTGTACAGGAGCACAAAGTGAGACGGGTGCTAAGAGCAGTAAACCCCAGGAAGGCAGCTGGCCCAGACGGAGTACCAGGGAAGGTGCTCAAAGCCTGTGCAGGCCAGCTCTCACAAGTCTTCACCTGCATCTTCAACCTCTCCCTGTCACAAGCCACCATTCCATCCCGCCTGAAATCAGTCACAATCATACCCGTGCCCAAGAAATCAACCACGGACAGCCTCAACGACTACCGTCCAGTTGCTCTGACACCGGTCATCATGAAGTGCTTTGAGAGGCTGGTTTTATACCACATCAAAGCCAGCCTTCCTCAGACCTTCGACCCACACCAGTTTGCGTATAGAGCAAACAGATCCACAGAGAACGCCATAGCTCTCCACACTGCGCTGAGCCACCTGGAACACCAGTGGAGCTATGTAAGGCTACTTTTCATTGACTACAGCTCAGCCTTCAACACAATCATCCCGGACATTCTGGTTAAAAAACTGTCGGACTTAGGCCTCCACCCGCACTCAGCACCGGCTCTCCACAGGGGTGTGTGCTGAGCCCACTACTGTACTCCCTCTACACATACGACTGTAGCCCAACCCACCCCGGTAACACCACCGTCAAGTTGGCAGACGATACCACTGTGGTTGGACTAATCTCAGGGGGAGACGAGTCTGCGTACAGGGATGAGATCCTGAAGTTGACAATGTGGTGTTCAGTGAACAACCTGAACACTGAACACCAAGAAAACAAAGGAAATCATCTTCGACTTCAGGAAGCACCGCGCAGACCCAGCTCCCCTCCACATCAACAGTGTCTGTGTAGAGAGGGTCCAAACCTCCAAGTTCCTGGGCACCCTCATCTCTGCTGACCTCTCCTGGACTCCCAATATCTCTGAGATCACCAAGAAGGCACAGCAGCGCCTGCACTGCCTGAGAGTGCTCAGGAAGAACAACCTGAATGAGAAGCTGCTGGTGAACTTCTACCGCTCTTCCATCGAGAGCCTGCTGCTGTACTGCATCACAGTGTGGTACACCAGCTGCACTGAAGCAGACAGAAAGGGGCTTCAGAGAGTAATAAACACAGCACAAAAGATCATCGGCTGCACACTTCCCTCACTTAAGGACATTTATAACTCCCGCTGCCTGAACAGAGCAAAAAACATGGTAAAGGACAGCTCACACCCCGGCTGTCATCTGTTCGACATGTTGCCCTCTGGCAGACGCTACAGGTCTGTCAGAGCACGGACAAACAGACTCAAGGACAGCTTCTTCCCCAGAGCCATAACCACACTGAACCTGGACATGCGTTGACTGTCCCACCCTCACCACACACACTGTGCAATATTTATTTTATATTTTTGCAATAATTTTATTTTCATAATGTGCAATATTTATTTTAGATTTCTGCAATAGTTTTACATTTCATACTGTGATATATTTATTTTATATTTCTGCAATTGTTTTACATTTCATACTGTGCAATATTTATTTTATATTTCTGCAATATCTATTTATATTCTGTTATGCTACTACCTGTAAATAACTCCTACCATACATTGCCCATCCTATCTGAATGAGAGTTCCTTTTTCTTCTTTTGTTGTCTTTAGCTGTGGATGCTTGTATGTGTGTGCACTTTAAGGTGAAGCCAAATAATTTTGTTGTACAAGTGCATAATGACAATAAAGACATTCTATTCTATTCTATTCTATTCTAATTAAAAAGATGCTTTCAGAGGTCTGCTGAGTCTGTTAGATGATTTGGATTCAACCATTTTTGAAGAGGGGGGGTCTGTCCGTACTGTAAATTAAGAAGGGCTCGTCAGGGCTGTTACTTAAATTAATATGATATTTACTGTGTCTATAGTCTATGGTCTATACATTAGTACTTGTTGCCATTTTCCTTTCTACTGCTTGCACAGGTAAACTCAGATTTGAGAGATATATAGCCTTGCACACATTACTTTGACACAGCACAAAAAGAAATGTATTTCTTGAGGATTTAATAAATTCGAATGTAAAAGTGTGTTAAAAGCAAAGAGTAGGGCCCAAGAGTAGACTTCAGTGGGATTTAATATAGGCCTAAACTAAATCCAAGAAAACAAAAGAAGGCTTACTTCTTTGAAAATCCAACAAAAGGGAGAAACCACAAAGAGCCACCAAGAAAATGTAGCCTACAAACACACATGAACACAGTTCAGCTCATAATAACCTGAGAACAAGAGGGAAGGTACACAGAAAATAAATAGACGGGGGACTAATCAACCACAGGTGTGAGAAACAAAATGCAGGTGAAACTAATGTGCAATCAAAGAGGAGGGAAAACACACAGAAGGGAGGAAGTAACACAGAGGACAAGAATTACAAAATAAAACAAGAAACACTACAAACTAGACTCGGGGAAATGACAGTAAATTTACACTATATGTAAATGACCAAATAAATAGGAAATTAGAACTTGGCAACATAACAAAGAAAAAAAACTAAAACAAGAGTAAATCTTGACACCATGAGGTTCTAAATTTGCCTTTCAATATGTAAATAATCTATTTATCATTTGCAGTTTTCATTTTTGTTTCAAATAAAATAATGTGATCAGTGAACTAAATCTGTGTTAAAGTTAAGAATCTGTCATGACCGGCTCAAAGTCCATGGAAAATAAAGGGAGAGGCACTGAACTTAATAAAAATATGAATTAATTTGCAAAAGAGATGAAGTTTGGATGTCAGTAGAGTAGTGTAGGTTAGTGGGTGTGTATAAAGTGTATGGTGCATGTGTTGTATAGAGAAGGCAGACAAAGCAACCAAACAAGGCACCTGCAGAAAGTCTCTCTGATCAGACTAAGTTGGCAGCGTTTATAATGACTGGGAGCAATGAGCCCAGGTGCTCTCAGTCGGCCTGAATAGATAGCCACGCCCTAATTACAGGAACCTGCAACACAAGGAGAGAGAGGCCACAGAGCTGTCACAAAGCTAAATAACAAAGGGCTTTAAAATCATCTTTTCAAACTTTATGTATCACTTTTAATGTTGAATGCTTCAAATATTACATTTGTAATTTCATATTTGATTGTTTTCATTTAAACCCGGAAATAAATTATGCGTAGCACTTTATTAAAAATTATTTCAGTGTTTCCCTCCTCATGCATTAAATCAGAAAAAGCTGCTCGTTGAGCTTACCACTCACTGTTCAGTGACTTTGTTCTGCTTCCCATAATGCATTGTAATTCCTATAAGCCCAAAGTAAACATGCACTGTACAGTATGAGACGTTTTGTTTTTTAATGTGTGTCTATGTGTGTGTGGTTTCTCTTTATGTGCAGCATCGTATTTGCTCTGGATATGTAACCTCTGCAAACACTGTAGTTTTTGTGCGAGCAGTCAGTGGCGTTGAATAGAAACAGGTTAATCTCTGCATTCTCATTCTCCATTACGCCATACGAGTCATTATTGTTGGGTTTAGAGGCGAAACACCTGCTGCCTTTACTGGATCATTTACTAAATCGACATATGGCTTAGCACTAGACAAACAGAGCATAGTGTTTGTCACTGATCTGTATGCAGAGGTAACCATTGATGCTCATGTGCTCATAAAAAAACAAAAAAAAAATCTCAGAAGCCATTAAGTAGTCTCATTCATCACTTCTGTGAGCTCACCTGGGCATGAAGGCCTCCCCTACATAGACAAAAAAAAGGAATAAAGAATCAAAAAGATACAATAACATGATGGGTTGCCCTGCAGCAATAGTTCTGCGGGGTGTTTTTTTGAAATATGATCTCATAATTGTCTGTCTTTTGAAAGTTAATGAAAGAAACTCAGTTGGTGGCGACCTCACTGTGCTACCTTTGTGAAAGTGCTTCTCTTTGATATCAAACATGCAGCGGTATGAGAGAGACTTTAAATATGAGGCACTTGTGCAGGAAGTTGGCATGACTATTTGAATTGAATCTGTTGAAATCATCAACCTTTATTTATGTTCTCGGCGAGATCATTGATGGCGATCCCTCTTTTACAATGATGCTGAGAAAATATACATAATGACAAACGAGTTAGACAAAATGAGTTAAAGCTACCACAAAAAATAAAATTAATAAAAGAGCAATAAAATATATAAACTAAAACCATTTAAAAAGCTTGAAATTACTACAATGATAAGTCAGGAAGTAAAATCAAATAAAACAGTTAGAGTCAGGTATTAGGCGGTTAAAAAGAATATTTCTAAAGTGTCCATAAGGGATACAAGTGTTCAAATTAAGAATAAATAGAATCACCTGAGTAAAATGTGCTGTTTGATCTGATCTGCTATTAAAGGTTGAAGAACTTCAGTTGGTTGGTTTCTATGATAAAACGAATAACCTGTAGAGATGCTAACTTTTTTTTAACTTGCTATATGAAATGAAGTTGGAAGTTTCCACAAAAGCAAAGAGAATCACGAACAATGTTACAACTAAACTGATTTAAGTTGACTAAAATAGAAATATTATATTCAATTTAGATTGATGAATTAATTTAACTCAATATTTTAGGTGGATTCAACATTTAATAAAGTATTTTTTAATTTTTGATTTCAAGTCAAAAAGAAATTGATAGACCATTTCGCCTTCACTAGATAATTTTACAGGAACTGAACTGTGATCAAAAGTTGTGTTAACTTAAAGATTTAAGTACAACTGACTTGATGTCAAGTTTATTTGACTAGAAAATTGTATTTCTTTGGAATAATCACAAATGTGTCTCAACTTAACTTTTTTAAGTTCAGTTAACTTATAATTTTAAGGCATCACAGACACTAACTTTTATAAGTTATAACAACTAGTTGTTTTTTTTTACAGTGTAGGATCAGATTGGTTGGCTCATTCAAATTCTGTCAATCACTTTTTCAGCAAGCAATTTAAACTCTTAGTCGCACTAAAATCTAAGTTCAATATTGGACCCTCAAAGACACTTATATTGTATCTATTCTGACTGAGCAGCTGCTACAGTCACTGCATATATATTAAGAGATCAGCACTGTGTGTGTGTGTGTGTGTGTGTGTGTGTGTGTGTGTGTGTGTGTGTGTGTGTGTGTGTGTGTGTGTGTGTGTGACTAACGCTTGTGTTACAGGACAAGGTGTTTTTCAGCAGCCTGTTCTCGTGCGATGTTCTCTTTAAACTTTACATAAATTTACCTATGGCAGCAGATGCTTCACCTGCAAATGATACACACCCTAGGTTAATGCTAAAGTCAAGGTTAGAGCATGAGGAGGTCACTGAACACCCCTTAAATGATTTATCTGAAGTCAAAGTGCAGCTTCAGTCACGCTAGATTAGACTTGTATATTCAAATACTGACCCCATATAACCACATCACACATCACACTGACAACAAGATACACCCATCCCACATCCAACCAAAGAACCCTGCACTTTATCACTGTCTCTTTTAGTCATTTGAGCTCCATTTACTTTGTCGCTCAATCAGTGTAAAGGGTCATTAAATGGTGACATTGCGTTTTCATTTCCGAAATTAAAGGACACATTTGATGGGGGAGAAAGCGTGTCATGGCCGCAGCTATTGGAACCACTCCTGCAGCATCTCGTTTGTTTTTCTTCAACTGGAGCAAGAAAGAAAGTCCTTATGCCTCAAACAAAGAAGAGTGGATAAGAGATGCGATACTGTAATTTTTGCTGCAACGGAAAGATCAACCCCGGGAGGAAAACACAGAATCAGGAACACTGATTCTGTGCAAGAACCCCCTGCGGCTGACGAGAATCATTATGAAATTGAAAGACAAATAAAAGGATGATACACACTTATTAAATGAAAGTCATCTAAACCCTTAATCACTCCTTGATTGACAGAAATCTTCTCAATTTCCTGTCTTTTATCAGCAAGCCCTTTTTAATAGAGTACATGGTTTCCATTAGGGCATGTTGCCAAGCTGCACCATAAAGGCATTCTTTTTTTTTGAAAGGTTGCATGAATTAAGTAGACCTACCTTTTCCTGTGCAAATGAATAATGGGTGGTGAACGAATCACATTAGTTTAATTAAAAATGTCTAAGTCAGGACAGGAGGAAGAAATGAAGTTCAGATATATGGTTATTGATTTCTGGAGAGTTGAATGAAAAGTGTCCAAACTCACACTGACCAGCTAATTAACTGGTGAGGAGGTTCTTCAAGTCCAATTAAAGAGTAACAGACTAATTTCCCCCGAACACAATATACAGAAGTATTATTTTCACTTTCAGAAACTTTAGAGCTTCAATGTCACCGCGGGGCTGTTATAGTTTTCCCCCCTCGCAAAAGTAATTACTCAAGTAATAATTTAATTTCATCTCCATTATTCCAGACATGATGACGCATGAGTGCGCACACTTAGACTGTTGTAATTTAAAGGATAATATACGCCATAAATGGAGCATACTCCATTAGCGCTCACAACTGGGGAAATGGATGAATAAAAATAAAAGGCAATTTTTTATATTCAAATACCGTGTGGGAGATAAATTAGTTAAGGAGAGAAAAGAAATGCAGAGTGTGTCTGACTTACGTGGAATTTATCCATGCACAGGAAACATGAGTTGACTTTTTTTTACACCTCACAAAGTGTCTGGAAAAGTTTTCAAAATCTCATTCTTGCATAAGTTTTGATCCTCTGCTGAATTAAACCAAAGCACAAGCCCCCAAAGAATCCACTTTTTTTGTGTGAAAATCTGAGTGCTAATGCCTCTGATGCATTGTCATACATCAAATAAATACATGCAGTGGCTTTTAGGGATTCACGCCTCCTCTTGCGTTTGAACTGAGGACATGAAAGAAGAAGCATCTTAACAAGTTTCTCAAGTAGATGTAGAAATATCTGACAGCGCAGATCTCATTTTTTATTGTGAAACTCTAAAGTACATCGGCCCGTTATATGACGCATAACAGATGGTATTAAAACCAATATTGTTTTTTAATATTCCTCAGCCCCTATGAGGAAAATTTAATTAAACATGTCATGCATACAAGACTGATAAAAGTCAGTTCCTGTACCAGCTGGTTGAAGAAATTAAGCCATAAATTTAGCCGCAAATGTAATTACAATGCTGATTATGTCCTGCAGAGTCGGAGCTAAAGAAAAATCATTTTCATGCAAAAGCAGATGTGCACTCCTGAGAAAATAAACGTAACCTGGGAGCTTATGGTTGAACAGCTTTATTATTAAACTGCAATTTTACATTTAG